CGAAGGCCGAGATAGAGTGCGAGGGAGAAGGACGAGAAAGAGCCACTGTGGCGGTAGAATGGAGGACGAGGAGGAAACGACGGTGGAGGCGATGGAGAACGAGAAGGACGCGCGAGGGGTTGGGGATATATAACGCGACAATTGCCGGATGCGACCGTTCGTGCGAATTGCGCGCGGGGAACTTAGGTACCGTGTACGTGAATCTCCGCGAGGGGAATGCAGGCAACGGGGGGATGGAATGATGGGAGGACGAGCGTGATGGTAGAGATGAACGCGCGAGGAGGGCTCGAATGCGAGCGAGGGTGAGGGGTTGTATAGATACGTCCCTGCGGCGGTGGTTTGTAATATTATGATAACCCTCCCTGCCTGTGCCTGGCTGCCTCTCTCCCTCCTACCCCTCCCTCCTCTCTCTCTCTCTCTCTTTCTCTCTCGCCCGCTCTCCCTCTTGTTTCCCTCCTACGCGTATACCAGGCTACCAGGCGGCCACCCTCTTTCAGCGGCCATGTTGCCGGGAAATATGATTATTGTTATTATTTGCACCCTCCTTCGGTCGTATCCTCCTGACTCCTCACCTCTTCGTAACAGCCCCGTCATCCTACCGGTGTGGCTGTGCCTCCGTTCTCTCTTTCCCTCTTTCTTTATTCTCCCCTTTTCTCTCTTCCTCTTTATCCCTCTTGCGCAGTATCCCCGCAGTCGCGCTATTCTGCGTAATGCTTCGCAGCTCTCTCCTGTGTACTGCCCTTCTCGTCACGCGAATCTCTTTCCCTCTCCCACCACCCGCGACTCTCTCGCGTCATCCTGCGACTCCATTCTCCCTCATCCCCGTCCTCTGTGTGTAGATCTCTCTCTCTCTCTCCGTTACTGCTGGCCGACGAATTGAGAGGAAACGAACGAGAACAGGGCCGAAACAACCGCCCGTCAACCGAGACCACTTTCCTCTCTCGTTCTTTTCGTCTTTCGCCGTGCATCCGTATCCTCCTGTCTGCCGTCCTTCCTATCGTCCTCCCCCGCCCTCCCCCCCCCTTTCCTGCGGTCGCCCGGAAAACTTTACAATGCGAAATGCCATCCCTACGTCGCACTTTTCGGCTCGCTCTTTCTCTATCTGCCTTTTTACCTCGCTTTATTTCTCTTTTTATTTTTCCCGTACTTGCACGCGAGCCCACTTTTTTCCGTTCGTTCTCGCTCCCTCTTTCGCTCATCGCTCCTCCCGCGCAGCAGCTTTCCGCGCGCGGTTCATTCCAACTCGTCCCTGCGGAAACGTTTCATCGACCGAGACCGCCATTCTCGGCTTTTTTTCCTTCGGGCTTTTTCTCGCCTCCTCGAACTTTTCTCGCGTGTCTAATATCAGGTTATTTTTCAGCGGGCGAAAATTCCGCGTGAAAATTGCCGCGCAGCGCCATACGCATTAAATACCGCTTGCGATCAATATACGATAACTCGTGTGTATATGTCGTGAGACAGATTGCATTAAACATCGCGGTTATCGTGTTGTTTAAAAATTGTAAAAGACACAATAACCGTAGAGTATATTATATTTTAAAATAATTTCAAACCTTATCTCATTAGCGTTGCATAAAAATTAATTTTTTATGCCGTTATATAAAAAAATTGTCTTGTAATATAACAATTGCAACTTTTAGCTCTCTAGAAAATATAGTTTAGTATGTTAATTTTAAATAGCACGCGTCGCGAAAAGTGAGGGCGCAGCTCACATTGTGAACAATGCCGTGACTTTTCGTGATGCAAGCACGTACAAGTTAATTATCCCATAGTTGGAAAATAAATATACGAGCTTTGGCGCGAGTTGCGCCAGAAATATACAACGTATTTGAATTTTAAACGCACATTTAGCGCTAAATGTAGCTGTCTAATTCTCATTGCGTTGTCCCATTCCATCTGTTTACATCGCGCATATGCGATTTTCATATTAAACGCATACAGCACAGATTCTGATGCGTTTAGTGTTAAATGTGCGAGAAAAACCGGAGAATATTTTCAGGGGAAATTAATTCGATTGTGACAAGTGAATATTGGCATGGTCTGTAAAGCGTGACCTCTCAATATCGCTTTGTAATTCCCATTATGAAGAAGGGTTCAATAGTTCTACTGCTTCTAAGTGGATAGAAGCAGTAGTCGCTTCAAAGAGACGTATAGCTCTAGTACACGTAATTCGTCGTAAACTCGCTTAATCGTGTTATTCGAGCCTCTCGCCGTAAATCGCAAGCGTAGGTATATAATAGTAAGCGTTGGAGATAATAAGGTGCTCAGGAATACTATGAAACAAAAGAAATGTTAGACGCTTGACAGGAAAACAAAAGCGATAACAAACCGAAGAAGAGAAAAAGAGAATAAAAAAAAAATAAATAAATAAATGTGGAAAAGTTGAATTTATCGATTTTTATTTAAAATTGTACAAGATGCCAAACTTACTGACAATGTGATGAATTTATCGAACAAAATGATGATTTCAAAAAAATTATATATTCTTTTAAATTTTAAGTAAATAGAGAGTAATAGCGTACCTCGAACAATCGTGGCTCTGGTATTCGTAATTCTCTCCAAACACGATTAATATTATTCGCGCTTGAGAAGTAGATAGGGAGAGAGCGGTACTACGTTTCACAAACAGATGTATCTCTACCACATACAATTCGTAGAATAAAAGCCACGGAACAATGTTGAAAAATGGAAGGAAAAGGAAATGAAAGAGTTGTTTGGATAGATATCATAGAACAATAGAGGAAAGTGCGAGAATAATAAAAAATGAAAAGGTATGATTAAGATAAAGAAAAAATTTTTAAAGAAAAAAATTTTGGAAACACAACGTGATAGGATCCGGTATAAGTAGGTCGTGATAATGGCAACACGTAGCACGATAGGAGGGTGTTCATTAGTTAACCGTTCGTTTCGGAAATCGCTCGATCGCTGTTAAATCTAGACGAATAGAATAGCACGCGTTGCAGAGAGGCACAGTTCCTAGTATGAGTAATTCTCTGTAAACTCGACTAATCGTGTTATTCGAGCCACCCGAGTCGGGAAGCGGGCACGCGTAGTTATGTAATGGTAGCGTTAAAGCGTTAATAAGGATCGCAGCGGTGTTTGAGAACAGAACGAAGAAACGAAGGAAACGCGCGCGCGGGCGGAGGTGGTGTAGGAGGCAGAAGGTAGAAGGATGAACGGTGGAAAACGGTGAAGGATGAAAGGGAGCGCGGGGGGAGGAATGTGGGGGGTGGTTGGTCTTTCGCTCGTGGTAGTCGCGGGAGTCGTGGTAATAAATGGGCAACACGAGCGCTTATAAGGGGTAGGTAATCTAAAGCTTTGGAGGCGGCGGCGGCGGCGCAACGGGGGCTGCCGAGAGAAAGAGCGGACGAGGGGGGCGGGAGAGGTAAGGGAGAGAGGAGGAAAGGAAGAGAACGATGAAGAGGTGGGCCAAGCGGGGGAGGGGAGGTGCGAGGGAAACCGGCATGTGTAGGGTGAGAGGGTCTGGTTGGAGGAAAGCGTAGCGGAGGAAGGGGTGGATAAGGGTGGTTACGGGCGAGGGTGTGAGATAAGGTATAAGGTGGGTAAGATGGCGGACAATTTGCCGCTCGACTACTCTTACCCGCACCCCTCCCTGGACGATTCCACAACCTCTACCTTCTCCGGCCCCCCTTCCGGCCTATGTACCGGGTAATAGATGTTCCTCCTTCACGACCAACGCGGAGACGCTGAACGCGCGCGCAAAAGCGTACACCGTCCTCCTTCCTCTCGTAGTCTCTTCCCTCGTCGCGTCGCCTTTCTCTCTCGCGGCAAGACAGAGGGAGAAAGGCGAGGAAACGACGGCCGGAGAGGCAAGCGCATGAACGTGCGTGACGGTGAGAATTGCGCGTGCACGTGTGGCAAGTACGTACGTACATACACGCCCGAGAGTTGCGGCCGCGTTTCACCTACACGTAAAACTGCCGCTCTGATGGAGTACAATCGTCGGTGAGTACGTAGGTATTTAAACGTTCTCTACACACAGTCAGCCGCCGTCGCGCCGCCGTCGCGCTATCCGACCCTCCGTCACCCCCTCACTTTCACCCCTTCCTCCTTCCGTCCGTCCCCCGAGCCGTTTCCGTCGGCGTCCCCTAGTCGGCAGACCGCACCAGCGTGCTCTCTCTTAGCATTCCATCCGCCATCTTCTCACTTAATAAAATAATTACCCCGGGCCAATTAAGCGTTCCCCTCTACGCCGTTCGCTCGTTGCTTTATGTGGGATCCCGCGTGCGCGTTCTCCATGAATGGCGCGCGGCGTCCTTCGTCGATATAATAACGCGCCACGTTATTCGACCGTTTATTCGTTATCACTTCGCGGGATTTACGTGCCCGAAATCTTAAGGAATGGTTAATTAGCGCGTCGCGTTTGTACGCGCCTTCGCGCGACTAAACTTCAACCTCATTACGAACATCACAGACAGATGTTTTTGATAGCATAATGTGATTTGCATTTCGAATAATCGCGATAAAATTAAATTATCTACATTTTACATGTATGCAACAATCTATTAAATTTACTTGTTGAAAACAAGATTTCGCAAAGAATATCAATAGACATTAAAGTTATCCCTTTAATTTGTTATTAAAATGTTTGAGTATTTTTTCAAGATAAATTGACTTGTAATTCAAGATAAACAAAAAAGATTTATCATTATCAAATCGGTTTAACTTATGAAATTAATCTGTTTTTTTCTCAGCGAAAATAGTAATTAAAGAGATATATCTTGCAATATGTCCTATTTGACTGGATAATATATATGAAAATATATTAAATATTAATGTTAAATATTAATTTTTTCAAGAATCGAGTTTTAAAAATCTTGCATTGTGCATCATAAATATGCATCATAAATTTCAAACCAGCGAACTCTTTTGATTATTTTCGAAGCTTTTACGTTTTCTCCACGTTTGATTTTAGCAACACCTACCTTACTCTCCAACGATCTGGTGAGATCTGAAGCTACGGCGAGAATTACGTAAAGTAATTTAAAGATGGCAGTAGTATTAAGCTCAGTGTAATCTGTTCCAAGATGTCTGTCGCGGCATTGGCACGTCGCGTTTTCGGTCAACAAATATCTAATTTCGTTGATTTAACGGTTTCGGCGGTGTCTCAGGTGCCAAGAAGATATAAATGGAAACTTGTGAAGTTACCGGAAATAGGTACCGGTAAAGCGTTCCGAAGAATCGTCCATTTCAAAGATGAATACACGGTAGAACCCTTGAAGGTTACGAATCTAGGAGGCAGGGATCCTGCCACAGGTACGCTATAAAATATCGTTATTACAGAATTATTTTTTTTTTTTTTTTAGTATTATACGCAGTATAATCTGAATCTTCTCTAAATTAATCGAAGTAAAACGTATCTAACGTCACAAGCATGTGCGTTATATGTGTGTAGACTACTCTTGACAAGTCTGACCTCTGTTGATGACATAAAACTACCGGGAGATAATGTAGATAACTAATATATCGGTTTGGATTGGATGTAATTTATTGTTAGGAAAATTTAAAGAATTTTTAGTTTCGGACATGTAACATACATGCGCTTTTACGATCTAGTCTTTTTATTAATTTGATTTACAAAATTGATAGAATAATTATTCGTATGATAGATAATTATTATATTAGAAGAAACAATTTTTAAGTTAAAATCAATCTTTATCCCATTTGGAGAAAATATCGCTTATAAATATATATTTGGCGCTGAAATATTTTTATTCAAAATCGCATTGTAATCGCCGCTAGAAAAATGAATCGTTTTTGTGTTACCGAAAACAGGCAGAGTAGTAGTCAAGGGTATCGGGGGTGGCATAAAGCACAAGTTTCATTGGATCAAGTGGATCAGAGATGGACCCAAGGACCTTAATGTACCGCCAAAAGAAGAAAAAGTCTTAGACATCTTTCAAGACGGTTGCAGAACGAGTTACGTCGCGTTAGTCGGTACCGGTCGTGAACTCAAGTACATTTTAGCTACAGAAAACATGAAGCGGGGCGACATAATACGTACTCATCAGGGAATACCGCGTAATACCGTAAGGCCCTCGGAGGGAGATGCTTATCCTCTTGGTGCTTTACCCATAGGAACCATTGTTAATTGCGTAGAGAAGTATCCGGGATTGGGTGGATTCCTAATTCATTCTGCTGGTACCGCCGGAACCCTAGTAAGACGAGACGGAGATCGAGTGGTAATACAAATGCCCAGCAAGAAGCTTTTCAGTCTGCACGAGATGTGCATGGCTACGGTCGGACGATTATCGAATGTCGAACATGGTTCTACACCGATTGGTAGTATACAGAAAAATCGGGAATTGGGCAATCGACCGAGGAGCGGTCTATGGCAACGTAAAACTGGTAGATTTGGTCGTAAAATCAAACCGCCTCCTCGTGTACAGCGTGTCGGCGACGAAAAATGTAAATTTCACGAAGTGCTCGTTTTTAACAGCTACCACAATGCTTAAACTATTTCGTGGATAAAAGTTGCAGTTATAAGTTGAAATACATAATAAAAATTCGTCTCGAAACACTCAGTTTGGAATTTTATTGTCTTCGTTTCACATTCATTCGTTTCATTTAACAAGAAAGAGACAATTAGAGATTTCTTAAGTTTTAAAATATTTGTTATACGTACAAGCCGTAAAAGAAGAGATATGTATGCGTTTTTTTGGACGTACATAGCTAAGTAAAGGACTTGGTTTTTCGGATCGTAAGCAAGGTGTCTACTACCTGAAAGAATCTAGAAAATTTAAAATACTCAAGAATTCTTTTCGCTTAAAAACATTAGTATTTTACGAGAATTAAAGATTTTTTTGAGTAAATTTTAATCTTTTTATAATTTATATTGAAACAAAATACTAGGAAACTTGGAAATCTTTAGTAAATCTTTTTCAAGATTCAGATAGACACCCTGAAACGATGAGTTTTTGTAAATTTCTATTTCATCATCGTGAACGTCGATTATTTATAGTAATATAAGTACTAACAAGAATTAATTGGTTAATTACGCAACCGTAGGACATCCGCGATAATAATGGCTATTTGTGCTTTCGAATGTTTTGCTCGGGAATGTCGTATACCTGAGTTTCAAGAATAGGCCATGTTCTTGGATCGGTAAAAATATTTAAGTATTTCACAAGCATTCTATCGTTTAAAGGCCCTTGTTGTAGTATACAGTCTCCAGACTAGTATCGTACGATCGTATTTGCTCTTGTACGTCGGGTTCCAGTTGATTTATCGAAATAGGAACCCGCTGTGCGAAAAGAGCGCAGCAGAGCGGCGTCGCGAAAGTGAGACACACTCCGCAAATGAGAACTTGAATCGGTCCAGCAGCCCATTTTGCATTACGTAATAGCTGCCTTCGATCTAGATAATTCATTACTATCGGCGCCAATACTGTAACAACAAAAATATAATGCTCTATCATACATTGTATCATCTATCTTGATTCAGTTTGTGAAATAATTTACATCCGTCTTAATTAATTATTTTTTTACGGAGACGAAATTTATTTTAAAAAATTAGATTTTATTTAAATAACCTTTGCGTGCTCTCTTATGTGGATAATATTCTATACAAAAAAATAAATTTGCTAAAAAGCATGATTAACGAAAGAAAAATGTACTCGAAAAACCTACTCATGCTCGGTGAGGCCATGAGTATTCGTGAAAACGTCACAATCGCAATCGCCTGTTTAGCCGCTCGTTTACTGCGGCCGACTTTTGTGCCGTCCTCGGTTTGTAATTCAATACCATTTTGGAGTTCAGTGACTCTCATGAGAGGGATGTTGACGCAATTAGCTGCCGCGACCGCTGCTAGTGGCACTAATCGGCCTGCCAGCGGCGGCGCACGTTGAGCGAGACGGTTCAGAGTCAGAGCTGTTATCACCGCGCCTCCCGTGGCGCCGACGTAACTTCGCGCTAGCGTTTCCGTTGGAATTGGACTCGAACCGCTGCGATTCGTGTAATTCACTATGGCGTTGAACGACTGATTGACCCATTGCCAGAAAATTACAGCCGGCGTTGACCTGCGAGATAAGTAAATAATGCAAGCTTCCAACAACTGTCGCAAGAGACGAATCTAATCAATCTACGATCAATAACGACTCTAAATGATAATTTTCCAAATATTCCTTGGATATTTCTGTTTTTAAATTTTGTGTTATTTGAGATTGAGAAATAATTGTATTTGAACAATTCTTTGCCTTTTTTTTTTTGGTCTTCAAGGTTTCGACTGTTTCGAGGAATGTAAAGTCAGGAGGCGATAGTTATCGGAGCTTATCGTACACAAATGCAGTTTAATATGAGTTTTGACAAAACATTTAAAGTCAAAGTATCCGGTTTTTTATCGTCTTGTGATAAATTGTGATAAATTCGTCAATGATTTCGTCAATGATTTGGATTACGTACTTGTAAAATGTCATCATACAGCCGGTTATCATCATGTTCATGGGAACTTGAGCACTCATACGTCCTATTAACAACATCTTCTCGCCGGTGTCTGGATGATAAGCACTGTCGTAAAGATATTTGCATCTCCATAACTCGTCTTCGGTAATTCCTTGTTTTTCTAGGCTTCCACTCTGTCTGTCAACGATAAAAAATTATGAATATGAATTAAAATACCGTGCTCATTACAACAAGTAAAAAATACTAAAAATAACAACTTAATATCAACTTGAATATAACTGAATATAATTTACAAAAAGCGTAAAACATAAAATAATGAAGATGTACGTTTTATATTAGATAAAAATATTCGTTGTAATATTTTTTTATAACATTAAACATTATAATAGCTAATAATAGTAATCGTAAATTCTATTTAAGGCATAAGCAGAACTTGTCTTATAATATCGATATGTCTTATAATATCGATATATAATGTTATATAGGTTTACATGTACGATATGACATATGACATTAGCGTAATGATTATCCAGCTGAGCGAAAGGAAAACAAAAATTAATTATATCGGTGTTGACGACTACTTGTATTTCGTGACGACATCACGCGCGTGCTCGAGCTGCTGGCTCGTGGCGAAGACATTGAGTGGGTTTGTCACCGTCAAAAAATGCAGCGCCCTTCCTCGATAAGTACTTTGATCCCAGTAGGGCTTGTCAATGTCTATCCTCTTCGGCGCACTGTCCTGCGCTCCAATTTTCTTTGTTCCCAACATCTCTTCAGGTTTTTCCTTTTGACAATCTTGGATACGAGTGATCGTTCTCTATCTTCCCCACTTCGCTTGCTCGTCCCCACCTTCACGACGACGCGTTAATGAATTGTCGTCGCTCTTTCGTTGCATCTGCACACCTGCTGGGAGCCCGTCAGCCTCCAAAGAGACGACGACATACGTGATGTTTGACAGTCGTCCACGAAACAAGCTGTTCACCCAGCTCCCAGCCGACTGACCCGTGTTCCAGAGTCCAGCGGTCTGGTTCTCCTTCCTCTCTCTCTCTCTCTCTCTCGTCGTACTCTTCTATCTATCATGGCTAATCTAGGTTCAATCAACTAAATCTGGTCTGAACGGTACTCAAGGCAGGTATATTATACGTTACGTTACGTTACGTACGTTACGTTACGTTACGTTACGTTACGTTACGTTACGTTACGTTACGTTACGTACGTTACGTTACGTTACGTTACGTACGTTACGTTACGTACGTTACGTTACGTTACGTTACGTTACGTTACGTTACGTTACGTTACGTTACGTACGTACGTACGTACGTACGTACGTACGTACCGTACCGAACCGTAACCGAACCGTACCGACCGTACCGACCCTACCGCCGTACCGCCGTACCGTACCGTCCGTACCGTCGTCGTCGTCGTCTCGTCTCTCTCTCTCTCTCTCTCTCTCTCTCTCTCTCTCTCTCTCTCTCTCTCTCTCTCTCTCTCTCTCTTTACGCTCCGCTTCCGCACGCTCGATTCCGGTTATTCCTCTCTACTCCCCTCATTCGGTCCATCAACTACTCGCCGGTGGCTTTGCCTTCGCCGTTGGATTCTCATCGATAAAGCTTGGTGCGTGCGCACAAACCATCCAGCAGTGAATACTCACGTTTAGCGGATTTACCACGAGATGGTGGCACGCGGAAACATTCCTCGTGTAAATTGATAAAAGTTTATCGTACGTAACTGAAGAGATCGATTTATTGCCTCATAGTATTAACTTTATAGGAAAGATTATAGAAAAACTAGATTATATTTAATAAGCTTGATGTGATTGATCAATGTTGTAATGAAAAGAAACAATAAAGAACAAATTTCTAAACTCTAATCTCATAAAAATTATATTTTTATAAATATAATTACAAGATTATAATATTTTTATTATATAGAATATTCTAAAAGATGAAAAAGTATTGTTTGATTTATGGGCTATATTTAAAATTTTAAATAGCGCATTTGAGTGTTGAAACGACCTTTCTAGGACAAGAAATTCACTCTCAAAGGTGATAATGTCGCTAAGTAATCTTTCTAATTAATAAAGCGCAGTTGTGCTAATAAAGAAACTCTTTACTGCTAAGTGGATCTTTTTAGATGGAGAGGGTAAGGATTGCATTTCTATGAGTATATATTTTACATGTTAGGAGGGTAAACGTTACTTTCATTTAATTTAGCCGGCCATTAATATAACATAACTGATATAATAATTATATAGTCAGATTGAGGATACAATCTAATTATAATGAAACTTATATTAATTTTACAAATAATACCTTACAATTAACTTGAAAGAGATTAATATTTATTTTCTTTTTTACGGTAATGTAATTTTTTAAATAAATTATGAATTATTTCTTAAAAAATATGCTTATATATATACATATATATCTATATATAAAACTATTGCATATACGATGCTGATATTTTATTTATTTTATTCTCTTTACATAATCAATGAATGTTATAGAATTGGTAATAATATCCATTATAATATCCATTATAATAATATCCATTATAATTGTTTGAGGATTAAACACAACTGTATAAATATCTGACACCGATCTAGAAATCAATATTTTGCATTACAGAACAAGAAAGAAAAATCTATGTCAAGTTTGACTAAAATGAATAAAGCATAAGAAGAGTAAATGTACAATGAAGTATACCTTTTTAAATTAGATAGAATCTAATCAGTTCTAACTATTATGCAAATCTGTTATTGTTATGATAATTATTGATTCTTTATTTTTTAGCAAGTATTATGTCAATTACTGAAACGACCTAAATCATACGACATTATATTGTTACTTAATTAACATATTTTTGATGCTATACATTTCAGTGAATATCTGATCATTCACCGAGCTTTCTAACTATTAAATATCATATGATTTGACATGACTTTAATGATGCAATTTAGGTTTATTATCCTTCGACCATTAGCTGAATTATTTGGTATTATTATTGTTGATATGTTTATTTTCATCCAGACTTTCCGGAACTATCTGCACTCAATTATGAAACAACAATTGTGAGCCAATAAGTTTTATTAAATATACTGTAGATTTGATCAAATTGAGATTTTGTTGAAATTTTGGACATAATAAGTTAACAATTTATGATGTTGATAGTTTATTAGTATCATTTTCTAATTTTATTTTATAAAAATAACTAATTGCGAGCGATGTTTCTTTTTTAGCGAATCGATTTGTGAGGTAGACTGCCGCTGAATCGTATAATCCTATCAGTACTAATTAAATGCGGTGACCGCAATCAAATCGCGATTTCAATGGCCGAAATGCCAAAAAAACTTCTCACACAATCGTGCATTTTACATTAAAAAATATATATATGTGAATTTTATTGAATTTATATTTAAATTATTGATACTTTTAATGTAAAGTGTAAAAATTTTTATGCAAATTCAATTTAATTTTTACTTGATTTTAATCACGATGTACTGCGCAAATTAGGCATGTCACCTGATCATAGATTAAGTGATTATTCTTATTATTCTTAACCTGCATTTCATATTAGAAAACGAATCTACTAATTTCTTCTTGAGGCTAGATACAATTTAATGCTTGCGGGATTTTAATTAATTCAATGTATGCCGCATGTCTTTCTCATCGTAGAGTGGAATGCAAGACGATTGTATACCAATATTTTATAAGTGTCTTGTAGATTTTAATGATAGGCATAAGCGTTAAAAGAAAAACGTTTGGCAATTGTATGTCAATACATTAAAACAAATAATTAATTTGGAATGTACAAAATTATTATAACAGTTTGTTGAAACAGAAATTATTCTTACGTCATTAAAAAGAAATCCAAAAAAAGTGTATGTTAAGAAAAATAATATTTATGCGTTAATGTGATAGCTAGATTGAGTGATAATTGTAAAACAATGTTTTTCTAGCTGGCGTTAATTGTTTTTAGACATAACTAATAATTCCGCTAATACTTGTTTTCTCTTTGTGTCACGTTTAATACTAGGATGATAATAATAGAGATGCACTACTAGCCTACTTGCATGTTTGACTATGGAGCCGGGACCGAAAATGAAAGATACGAAGATAGAATATGGGAATATGGAATGGGTGATTGTGGAAGGTTACAAAAGTGCACATTCACTGTGTTGCCGAGATATATTTATTTGTGGACGCACACACGTCGCGCTATTCTCGATCTTTAGATGAAAATCTTATCTCGTGCGAAACATAACAGGTTTTCCTACATGCGCCTTTTATTGAAGATTCAACGTTTCATTGAAATACCGATAAAATATTTCCGGTATATTGTCTGTTATCCAGGTATTACAGGTCTGTGTAATCAGTCATAATTTACCATTAAAATTTTGAAGCACTTTTTAATTAGATTCAATTTCCGGTAAATAATAATAAAGATGATTTAATTAAAAAATAATTTTTAATTGTAAGTTGAAACAATTGTCAATTAAGAATATCAAGACATTTATGTATATTCTCCTTAATTTTTATTCTTATTTTATTTTACTCTTATTGTTTCGTGTATGCATTTAAATTACTGGTATAAATATCTGTCTGACTCTTCGTATCATTACTTTATCTATTTATCATAGGAATAATTGTTATTTTTCATTTGATCATTTTCATGATCATCTCTATGATCATCTCTTGATCATCGTTGACAAGCGATTTGCTTCATTTGATGATATATGATCTTGAGACGATAACATCGGGCGGAATGTAATACTTCTGTGTCTACTGTGTCTTCCTCTTTTCAATCAAGTATAATTTTACGAATGTGCTAGTAATTAAAGTAGGTGCGGTACTGTACCCCGCATCTATATTCCATATCGGAGAACTCTGTAATTGGAATTTGTACTTGGAAAAGATGTTATCACGATGATTAATTCTTTCTCTACTACAAAAAGTGTTCCACTATATATTTACGATTTTAGTTGGATCATCCTGAATACCACGACCAGTAATACACGCAGCGAACATAAATTCGCTTTATGACAATAAGTTTTTGAGCAATTACGCAAGTACGTCTTTTTCTATTTTTGACGTCTGTAGAAGATATTTACAAAAAATATTTTCTAATAATGACACAGTTTTTATTTCAATAATTCAATAATTCAATTTATTCAATAATTTTACATCATTACGATATCAAATGCAAAAAAAAATGATAATTTTAATACTTTTTATCATATGAATATTGGTAGGCGGATTTCAATTTGATTAAATATTATAAAATTGATATTTACACTGTTTTCTTCGTGTAAAAAGTTGTAATAATCTTTTGGCGATACTAATCCTGTAATAATTTATTTTTAATATTATATTTTTTATTATTTCTTGTACACGTTGATGTTTTGAAGCAAATTAAAGAATTTGATCCTCGCGTGATGAAATCTTCTGATTTAATCTTTGAATTGATTTTATCGGCGATGACAGTTATGGACTGCGGCGGTTGATTGTATAAATCGTGAATCGAAAGTATAGATGAAGTGATTCTATTTCCATATTCATAAGAGTTGGATGGAACATAGATATAGAAGTCAATTGTTGATCCCTTTATTTAAAAAGAATATATCTTCCAAAGTCAATAATTTAAAAATTTTTTAAATATCATAGAGCTTTTATATTTGTGTGTGTGTGTGTGTGTGTGTGTGTGTGTGTGTGTGTGTGTGTGTGTGCGCGCGCGCGCGCGCG